GTAGGTGAACTGAAATCGGATTCTGATGGCCGGTATGATGACGACGAAAATCGAGATGTCCCAGATTCGGATGACTCCGGTGAAGTTAATGTGAAAAGCGTTGTGTTGTTGTCATCGTCGTTGTTCTGCTCACTATCATTGAGCTTATCGTCGGGAAGGAGGTAGACAGGCTTTAGTCGATCGATCGAAACTGTAGTGTTTTCGCCTCTCTGAAATGTTTCTCATGCCTTGAAATGACTTGGTGAGGTCCTTCATACGGTGAAGTGAATGCGTGGTGTGGAGCGTCGCGATCAACAAAAACGTATGAATATGTCGCTAGTTCTTTAAAAATGAATGTTTTCCTCTGACCATGTCGGACGGTGGGTTGAGGTGCGAGGTCTGCGAAGTAGTTTCTCAAGCGTTCTGCCATATTGGATGGTGGCAAACCAGGTCGTGGCGAAGGAGCGAGGAATTTACCTGGTAGACGAACTGGCTCACCATAAACGAGATCAGCAGGAGTTGCGCCAAGATCTTCCTTCCAGCGCGAATTCCAAGAAGGACGATTGGTAGCATGTCGACCCACGAGTTATTTTCGTGACAACGAATCGCATCCTTCAAATGACGGTGAAGACGTTCCACCATGCCATTTGACTGCGGATGGAAAGTGGTGGTGTGTATGTGTTTACTGCCGAGGAGACGAGCGAGAGCGTTAAAAAGTTGACTCTCAAACTGTGTACCTTGGTCAATCGTGATTCGTAACGGTACTCCGTAGCGGCATATCTATCCGGCGAAAAGTGTGCGAGCGACACGTTCGGCCCCGATATTATCAATAGGAAATGCCTCTGGAAACCTCGTGAAACGGTGATTGTCAAACAGTTACGATATCCTCTTGATGGTACGTATGGTCCAATGATGTCCACGTGAATATGTTCGAAACATCTTGTGCGGCATGGAAAGTTTTGGATCGGTGATAAAACGTGGCGTGATACCTATTTCGTGGTAATAGGCACGTTCGGGCCCACAACGGCAACGGTTATGCTACCAAACGTTGTGTGCTATCAATTGGCGAGGCTCGTGCCGGGATGACAATACTATGGAGAGCGTCGAATATTCTCTTAAGCATTGGGAACGTGCGACGAATAAGGTCGTTAGAACGTCGCAATAAATTAGGATTGCAGCCCTGAATGGATCGGTTGTAAGTCTCGAATCGTGCTGTTCTTCGTATACGTTGCTGAAGTTCCTCGTCTTCGCTTGGCTTGAGATAGTTCGTTTGAGATACTGCCGTTGATATTCTTCGATGGGAAAGAGCATCTGCGACAATGTTGCTTTGCCGGCTATACATATATTGGATATGGTTGTAAACGCTGATGAAATAGGGGAACTGCCAAGGTGTCACTTGATCAGGTCCTGAGCAAAGCATGTGCAAAGTTTGTGATATCACATATCGTGTTCGAAAATATAGCGAAATTTTCGTAAAGCTGCGTAGATAGAGGAAGATCACGGTCGTATGGACAGTGTTTCTCAGAGCAGTTTGAAGCTTCTGGCTGAAGAAAGCCAATAGTTCCTAGTCACGCCTTTGTTGAAGAAAGGCGCCGGTAGCATACGAGGCATCGGTAAATTGCCCAAGGAAGGTGGTGTCTGGATATGCTAATATCGTTGCTTTGTGTGCTTTGCATTAGACGAACGCTCCTTTCCTCCGGTGTCCAGGGACCGGAAGAACCTTAATTGAAGCCCTGAGAGTACTTGTCGATAAATCGATGGAATGTTTGCGCAGCATTCCGAAGTCCGAACGTCATGAAGAATCGAAAAGACCAAACGGTGTTATAATTGCAGTTTTGTCGACATCTTCTTGGTGACGGTTTGATTAAAGCAATACTTCAAGGTCGCCATTCACCAGACTTTTGGAACCAGGTGATGGAGGCACAGGAGCTTTCGAACGTTGAGCGATTCCACAACATATTGTCGGTTCTGTCTTAGCAATTTGAGTTTGTCGGGAAGTCTTCGGCCTTACAGGAACAGGAGGTCCTGGTGTTAGGTATGTGGTGCCGTCGCCTGTTTGTGGTACAGATTCCTTCCGGATTTGTCAGATTAGGGAACTCGTTGTATATCGCCCATATAGGTCGACGGCAGTGCTTTACGAAATGTTGTATGCTGATAACTTACATGCGCCTTTGGGCCAGTTATAGAGTCGATAAGGCAGTGTTCTATGTCGGAAGATGAAATGCCAAAAATCTGTGCCAGCATTAGGTTTCGTTATCCACTACGAAGCGCCATGCAAATTTCGTCTGAGGCCAAGGTTTAGTGATAGAGTTATGCAACCCGTACGTGGTAGACCCATTTGTGCTGTGAGGATGATAGTTGACTTGCTCCGGCGACCAAGGCAGAGACTGGGAACGTGCAGAGATCAGGACAGTATGCAACGAAATTGGATTGCGGTACGAACTGTTACGAAGAGGCGGTTTGATTCGAGGAGAGCCGTTAACCGCCACTAACGGTCGACAGGTTTCCTGAAATGTGCAAGGTGACCGGCACGATGATACAGCAATGACGTTGTTCGGTGATGGGAAGATGCGCGAACGAAAGCGATAGACGAAACGGAACGAGATATTTGTTCTTCAAATTGAACGATCAATTAAAGCCAGAGAAATCGTGATTCCACTTGATGTTGCTGCTGGTTCTGACGAATTGATTTGCTGGCTGGTAATGCGATATCGTGATTTTGTCAAGAGATGCGAGTTTATCGATATTCATGTCTGCTTGGGACGCAAGTATGATTGCGTTGTCATCGGAAGTCTGCTGAGCCACTTAGTTCGTATTGTCAAAACAGTGTTGTCAAGGCGTCTGAGATGTCGGAGAAATCGCGATGGTTTTCTATCACAAGTGACTCGATCGAGAAGTGCTGAGTCGTGCTTCTCGAGAGAGCGTAAGGCGTTCGACCAGTGTCCCTTTTAAGCGAGTGTAGGGCGTATTTGTGGAAACATCCAAAAGAAGATCTTCCACTTCTGCGGCGGCCCTCGCGTCAAGATGTGAAGAAGCATAGTGGTAGAGGCGAGATGAAATTGTCCCTCAAGTCGGGCGAACCACAAGGCTGGTCGTTCGGAATTGAATAACGGACAAGCAAAGAAACACGTTGGAGCGGCGTTATACTGTCGGCTCACTTAGCGTCCACGCTATCTAGATATGCCAGAAGATAATGTAATGATTGAAAATTTATGCTGCGCCCGAGTTATGATGATTAGAATGCGCGAAACCCAGTGTCCTCCAATCGGTCGTATGCGTGGCAGCCACATGCACGATTATGCACAAAACCAACACAAAGTACCAACGAAAATTTATGCGCAAGTGTTGTAACTTGCAAATGCACTGTAGACGAATTAGTTAGCGAATTTTAAAATTATATTAACAAAATCGAGGAAAAAAACTATTACATCACGGAAAAAACTATTAAATTACGTCGGGCTAGCGGAATCACGTCGGGGTCACCAGTTGTGATAATTAATGTGCTATAATGCAGCAACGATGCGCACGCGGTGGCTGCCAGCAGGACAAGGACCGTTAACCGTGTTGGATAGTCTTTTATAATAACAGCAGGCGTCCTCGAAACTGTTGACTATGTATTCGCTGTTCCGTTTTGTGTCGTATTCGTTTCAGCGTTCCTTGTAAGCCAGGATCAGCTGACTTGCTGACAAGGTGTTGCCATATTATATTGTCGTACATTATATTATATTGTGGCTCATCCCACAAAAAATCTCCATACAATTCACCTATTGTTTCGAAAAATCAGATGCGTCTGGAAAGCCAAAATTCAGAATGGTTATAGAGGTATCCCATACCTTAAAGTAATGAGGCTCTCGCCCAGCTAGGTCATGTTAAGACTTTCTCTGTCCTATTCCTTAAAAGTGGTAGAATCGGCAAATCATCCTGAAACAATCTGTGCACTCGATGATATCTTAAGAGAGCATATCGTAAATATGCATGTAAACGAACCAAAAAAAGTGTTAGTAATTGCTAATTACCCATTTCCCAAAACAATTAAAGACCTTAGAGCCTTCTTGAGCATAGCCGGCTATTACAAACTATTACAAACATTTCGCTTATATTGCAAAGCCACTTAGCTATGTTTTAAGGGGGAAAGATGGACTAGTGTCTAAACAAGAGTCCGCAAAGAGATTCATCAACTTCGATTAAGAGCTGTTGAAGCATTCGATAAGGTTAGGAATGCATTAATGTCAAATAAGGTCATTTTACATAATCCCGATTTCACTAAAAATTTCCATTTGGACAACAGACGCCTCAATTTTTACTGATCATTAATCCTTGACGAAGATAAATAAATTCTACAAATCCATAACAGAGCCCGTTGTAATTCACAAGAAAATATATTACAAGAAATTTTATTTTCCAGGAATGAAAAATAAGATTGAAAGATTAGTAAAACAAAGACATCGTCCGAATCCTCATACCGGATTATCCAGGACAAATATTATAAAAAGACATTTACTCGACAGAGAAGGTACTAGTTCTAACTGCAGTGAATAACTTCTCAAAGCTTGCACAAGACAGAATCCTTATATCCAAATATATATAAAAAATACTCTTTCAGAAGCTATTGGTGTACCAAAGTGTGTCGTGATCGATAATAAAAATTCGTTTAATTCCGAAACCATAACTTTCATGTTGAGAGATCAGCTTAACATTCAAATCTTTACAACACCGTCCTATAAAACTTCAGTCAATGGACAAATTGAGAGAATCCTTCTACCTTGTCTGAAATCATGATGTGTCTAAAATTAAAAGGCGAATATTAAGCATTTGAATAACTCCTTAAATAGAATATAAATATAATATTATATATACTTCTATTAAATATGCGCGTTCAACTTAAACAATCCATTAGCGTCAAGATTCCTGAACAATTGTTGATATTAGCAACGGTTAAAGTGAAGTATGCAGATACACAATATATTAGACTTCAGAGAATTTTTGCAACATGGTGGATAGAAAAGATAAGTAATAAACAGTATCTTCCAGATTTGAGACATAATTATACTAATCATGAATGGCTACGAGAGCGACAAATTTAGCTTGCGAAAATTTAGATGTTGATGCTGCTTAAATGAGATAAGTTTCCCACATACACACCAATTACTGTAAAACTGGCGCACCTATATAACCTACTAAAATACACCACACTCATACATCACCATACTACGGGACAACCAACACACCAGCGTCACGCCTGTACACCACCCAGCAAACAAGGATGGTTCCGCAGCAGATACACCTATTCGACAAAAAGCGATCTGCGCGCAACTCATATCATCTTCGAAAACCACACTTGAAAGACTCGTTTATCGTCTACGGCCATGAGCGCCACCACCTCGTTTTCGCCCCACGCCGATCTTCAACGATCCATTAATCTATATTATCAAACTCTTTATGTAAATAATAAAACTTTGCATAGCATGAAAACAACGCTTTATTTAAATTATTCAGATTGTAAATGCAGTGTAATATCTAGGTGGTGTTCACCAAAATAGTACATACAATTCAACAAGGTCCTTCAGCCTACTGAAAGGCACCGGATTTATAATAAAATAAAATAAAAATTATTGAGTATATAAAAATACTTATATGAATCTGAATATAAAACAAAGTTTGTGCCCGCCTGAATAGCAGAATACAACTTAAAATAATGAAAACTCAACAATAGTGTATACTATAATAATAATTTTCCTTAGTATTTTTCAGCTAAGAACGTTTTGTCCACCATGTTAAATACTATAAGTAATGGTGATATCAGAAATAGACAAATGATTAACGTTTACGCGTGTGTTCATAAATTTATGTGTAAATTAAAGTTTATATTCTCGAAAACAATTCTCGCATATTTATACAGTAACGAAAAGTAAAAGTCTTTATGTTGTCGTGATTTTCAAGGCTAATACATATGGGTTAAAGTGCACTATCCAAAGTAGTAATCTATGATCGAAATTAGTGTATTCGAAATAATTTCAAAATTATTTATAGGTAACGAAAAGGAAATGTTTTATGTTGTCTTGATTTTAAAGATGATAATAAAGCTAAAAATGCACTATCCAAGAGTTCTATTATCTCAAACATTGCAATTTGTCTCGAAAGTTCTGGTACTTTAAATGTTTGCAAAACGAGGCTTGCCTCATGCACATATTCTCATTTGGCAATCGAAAGAATTCGGCCAGATCAATTAGATAATATCAAATGTGCGGAGATTCCTGAAAGTGAAAAGTGATTTTGTAGTCGACAACAATTGCGTTGTTCCATATTCGCCTACTTCTTCCAAAACATTCAAGGACATTGTAATGTTGAGTATTGCATTTGTCAGTCTTAAATACATTTGCAAATATGTCACAAAGGCAGCGACATGGCGGTTTTTGGTATCCAAACATCCAACCAACGATGAAATTACGCGTTATCAAGACGGTGATATGTGAACTGCAATGAAGAAATTTGGCGTATATTTTCATTCGCTATTCACGAACGTCATCCCACTGTTACACATTTTTCGGGTGCATCTAGAGAACGGTCAGAAAGTTTATTTCACAACGTCGAAGGCTGCTCAACCAGAGAACTTAAAACAATGAGAAGGTGAAGGTTCGACAGTGAACAATTTGTAGGAATTTATCAAGGAGTTCACCACATATGCACGAGAAACAAATAACATTTCTCGCTTTTATAACAGCGGTGAATCTGTAAACATACGCTCTCTTAACATAACCAAACGGCGAATATTGAAGAGAATATAATATGTATGCCAAACTGGGAATGTTGATATGCCATTTGAAATGTATTCCCTTTTATTGAACTATTATTTATTATTTTTTAAATTATTTTATGTTATATATCAAAATACTTTATTAGTAATAATTTAAAAGTATTTTGATA